TGTCCTTGGCCATAAGTTTCCCTTCCAAATTGCCTAGAGAATTTCTGTGTTGCCAACTCCCAATGGCAAAATGCCACGGCCTAAGTGACGCTGGCAGGCAGCTGCTTTTCCCGGTTAGGTGTGACAGATGTGTGGCCTGCCTGCTTTGTCTACTGTCATGTCTTGGCATATTTTTTCCAGTCTGTTTTTTTTTTTTTTTTTTCTGAGATGGTTTCTCTGTGTAGCCATGGCTGTCCTGGAATTGCTTTGTAGACAAGGCAGGCCTTGAACTTACAGCGATCAGTCTGTTTTTACTATATTTTTACATGGTTTATATTGTATCATATATAATTTTCTATTTTGTTCTTTTCCTTTACTATACATTTTCTGGCTATAGTATCTCATTAAATGGATATACCCATTATACCTAAAAATTTCATTTTATGCTTTTTTTCTTTCCTCTTTCTCCTTCCTTCCCTTCTTTCTAACAAGGCCTACTGTTTTGCACAGCAGGGCTCGAGCTGTGCCCTGGGCTGACTTGGTCCTCCTGTCATGGCATCCTGAACTGCTGACTTGTGGGCACATACCCTGTGCCTCACAGTAGTCTCATTTCAAAATCTGTAGGCAATACAAGTCGAGACTTATGGGTTTCAGGAACTGTTCAGATTCTTCTTTTTTTTGAGACAGGGTTTCTTTGTGTAGCCCTGGCTGTCCTGGGATCCGTTCCGTAGACTAGGCTGACCTCAGACTCACAGAGATCCACCTGTCTCCGCCTCCCAAATGCTGGGATTACAGTTGTGTGCTACAGCACCTACCTGGCTCTGTTCAGATTCTTTTTTTTCCCCCTCCTGCACTGTGGCTGGAAATGGATTTTTGAATCTTTAGCAAGATCTTCAAGTAAAAGTTTCTGGTTATGGTAAAATATGACTCAAACTTCTTTTTCCCTCTGTTTTGTCTCACTGAACTTAGTAAAGTGTTTCTTTTTGTAGAGGTGTATATAGTAGGACACAGCTCAGGGCTTGGAAATAAAAATATTTCTATATTTCTATAGTTACTCTATATTCTTACTTATCAGAATTAGGGATAATTAAGCTAGACAAGGTAATTGTGGCCTGCTTTTGGAATCCAGCACTTGGGAGACACAGAAAGAGGACTGAGGGTTGAGACTGTCTCAATAAACAGTAGTAAAACTAGGATGAGTCAAATACATAAGAATTACTGACCCTTTTCCTTATTTATGATTTTACTTTCTCCCTTTTTTTTTTCTGTATTAGTATTGCTTAATTCAGACATTTTGAGTGACAGTTATTTTTATTTTTGGATGGCAAGCATTAAAAGTAGCCATTCTTTTGAAAACCAAAAATAAAATAAAATAAATAAATGGAGGCTTTACATGGCAGCATGGCAAACACCTTTAATCGAAGTAGTTGGCATCCTGTGGCAGTTGAATCACTGTGAGTTCCAGGCCCACCGTGGCAGCATTACAAGTTCTAGATTGGCCTTGTTTTAGGCTGGCTACATAGTGAGATCCTGTCCTTTCCTCTCTCTTTCTGTCCTTGATAAATAAGTTAACAAATGAAGTAGCCTTAGCATCAGATGATTTCCTCCTTAGCACTCAAGCAAAGGTAATAATGTATGGACTGTGTTTGTGAAAGGTGGTACACTAAAACTCTGTGTGGCTGAATCCCGAAGGCTTAGTATTGTTGAAAGCTGGTGCTGACTCAACTAGTTAATTTGTATGTAGCAGGAAGGGGGATCATCTGGAAGTCAGTAAGCATGGAACTTGGTGAGAATCATGAGACCAGGAGTGAGTGGCTTCTAGTCTTGTGACGACAGAGTGACTTGATTTCTGTATTTCTTTTTTTTTCTTTTCATTCTCTTCCTCCTCTTCTTCTTAGACTTATTTATTTTGTATGAGGGCTCTGACTGTATGTACACCTGCATGGCAGAAAGGGCATCGGATCTCACTACAGATGGCTGTGAGCCACCATGTGGTTGCTGAGAATTGAACTCAGGGCCTCTGGAAGAGCAGACAGTATTCTTCACCACTGACCCATCTCTCCAGCCCTCTTTCTTTTTCTATTTGAAATAAATTATTTTTTGAGCTATATGCTTATCACTATGAACTATGTAGTTACTATGTTTAAAAAAAATACAGCACTTCATTTGATGAACTGTTTTTAGTTTGAGTTTTGGTTGCCTGCTAATGCATTATGATAAACCTTTTTTGTAAACTGTCTGTTTGGGATAAATTTACTTCTCTTCCATGGTGTTAAAGCCTTTCTTGTGAGAAGCAGTTATTTTGGCCTTTCTGTTTTGTAGAAATGCAATATGCTTGGAGTGCTTGAGATGGAGGCTTTTGAAAGTTAACATAAAGGTAGGGTGAAGAGGGGGTCACTTGGTACTCCTCAAAAGGACCTGACTCTGGGATTTCAGTCTGTCTTAAGGGTGGAGAGAGCCAGTCAGAACTGTGGGTGTGGATGTGGATCTGGCTCTGTGTGGGTCAGAGCCAGGATGGACTAGGGAATAGTGGAAACAAATATTTGGCTGGAAAGAAAAATGTGAGTGTTTCACTCTGTAGCCTAGGCTTGCTTGGGACTCTGTAGTGCAGGCGAGCTTCATACTCAGGGTAATCCTCCTGCCTTAGACTCCCAAGTTCCCAAGTCCCGGGCTTACAGATACAAACTACCATGCCAGGGTTTTAATTTTAAGGGTAGCATTTTTGTTTTTGTTGAGTCGTTAGTCTTACTTGACTTAAATATAATGATGAATGGTATAAGCCTTTGTGTGTGTGTGGTGGAAGGTATGGCTGATATAGGATGTAGGGAAAAGCATGAACAGAGGCCTTTTTTTTTTCTTTTCATTTATTTTAAATTTCTTGATTACATAGTATTTTTAAAAATGTGTACATTATAATTTTGAAGTAACATACATTGTGTGTGAATGGCTTCTTCATAATTCCTGGCTCCTCCAGCGACATAATAAATCGAATTAAGCTGAATTTATAAAAGCCAGGCTTATTGGGATGCAGCTCTCTGGCAGGTTCACAGGAGGGGTCAGTGAAGCTGCAGGGTTGGACGGGGGTGGGGGCTTCCTAAAGGGAGTCAGGAGTCGTCATGATGTGATGATGAGGTGCTGGGGTTACAGCCTTCTTTGCTAAGTGCAGTCAGAGCCCTGTAGCTAGGGTCTTAGTTCCTGTGGTCACTTTGGAATTTGGAACTAGGAGCTGGCTTTGTTCATTTTTTTAAAATAGTTATTTATTTATTTTACATCTATGAGTGCTTCATCTACATGTACATACACCTGCATGCCAGAGAGGACATCAGATCTAAGTATAGATGGCTGTGAGCCATGATGGAATTGCTGGGACTCAAACTCAGGACCTCTGGAAGAGCAGATAATGCTCTTAACCACTGAGCCATCTCTCCAGTCCTTTGTCCAGTGTTTTGCACAAGCTTTTTAAAGCATAGGCTCCTGGTCAGAAGGGCGGGGACCTCTTGGTCCGGGTCATCTTGCCTTTGTCTCAGAACCTCCGACCTAACATTATGGAATGGTTTCCTTCATTTGTCAGGGGCCTTTTTTTTTTTTTTTTTTCTTTTTTTCTGTAGTAGTCAGTAGTTTACTGTTATGTGGGAAAGCTCGTAATTTAACTCTTGGGATTTAACAATAACTACCCGAAGAAAGAAGGAACTCAGATTAAATTCCTGATTTTAAATGGCAAACACTCTTCCAGTGGTCATCCTTCATAAATTTTCCTACATGGCTGCCTTCCCTCTTAAAAAAAAAAAAAAAAGTCAAGCTTTCAGATGGTCAGGTGTCATTGTCTAACTGTAGAACTACCTCAGAGTGACTTTCCTTCGACATGGAGCTCACAGCAGCAGGCTTTTCTGTTCCAGCTGTGGGTTGTACTGGTATTGTCACATCTGTAGTAAAGCTAGCTTAGAGATATGAGAATGAACAAATACAAGCTTTGGTTTAGTATTTTGTTAGAATAATATATTCTTATTGCAGAGAACTTTGAAAAGAAAATGGAGGAAATTAATGAGCTGTAGTTCTAACTATTGGAATACTTTTTTGGCCTTTTTTATGTGTACTATAAAATCAGTTGTGAATTGAGCAGTGGCTTGAGGGTAGGGAGTGGCCCTCAAAGATAATCCTGGATCTTAGTTCTACTATAGGCAGATCACCATCATTTCCAGAGGTGTAGAGTAGAGAGAAGGGAATTCTACTGGCTAAGGTACTTGGATAGTGTTGGCTTGTGCGGATAAATATCTTCTGGAGAGATTATGTTGATAGATTTAAGGCTGAGAGTTTGTGTTTTGACCAAAGCAGCCCCTGGCCTTGATCAGAATAGACAGTCAGTGAACTCCAAATCTTGAACCCCTAAGTAAAGTATGTGTCTGCTCATTGCCAGACTATGGTCAACACTTATCTGAAAACATATGATCTGCCAGTATGAGCTTTGACACAGAATCACAGGTTGTGTCTTTTCCATATAGTAACAATTTCCGTATAGTAGAATGGGTCTTTTGGGACTGGAAGATTAGTTCCTGTTTCTGTGGGTGTCCTAGCCAGGGAACCTATTAGATTTTGTTTGTGATAAAGAAGCAGGAAGTAGCAGTGGTGGCAGTGGGGTTAGCTGTGGGAGAAATGGCTTAACTAAGTCAGTATTTAACAGCTCCACCAGTGGAGAAACAGTCTGTCAGCGCAGTAAAGACTGTTAGGAATTCTTGTATTGGAATTCTTTGTTCTCTGTAATTCTGTTTCAGTATGTATGACTCACTCACAGTGTAACTCTGTTTCAGTGTGTATGACTCACTTACACTGTATGTACCAAAGTCTGATAGAAGTGTCTGGCTTTTTTTTTTAAATTACAGTTTCCTAGTATATAATGGATTTCAGCTTCTCTACTAATTTCATGTATAGTAGTGTGTAGCTAGTGTGTAGCTGGATGGCTACTTTATTCTTGTGGTTTATATATAAACAAATATATTACTTGCTAACTGGTATTTTTTTTCCAGTTTCTCTTCAGCAACGGGTAGCAGAATTGGAAAAAATTAATGCAGAATTTTTGCGTGCACAGCAGCAGCTTGAGCAAGAATTTAATCAAAAGAGAGCAAAATTTAAGGAGCTGTATTTGGCTAAGGAGGGTAAGTTTGCCAGTCTCTTTCCCAATTCCCCTGCCAAAACTGTCTTAAATGTTAAATTTCTGATAGTACAGTGTGTGTTTGCCATTGCTGAAACCATTGTTTGTGTGCGCGTGTGTGTGCGTGTGTGTGCTATAATACAATGCTTTTCGGAACTAGAGTTGTCAGTGGAGTTAGAGCATGTGGGAAATGCAGCATTAAGGTCCGTGTGTTTCCAACAGTGATTGTGCTTAGCTGTAGTTGGCTGCTCTTAACGCTAAGGTGCGCCTCCTGGTTCTGTTGTACAGAAACTGACATTTCACTGAAGTTACCGCAAAGTAACCGCCCAGTAAATACCTGCTATGTCGGATACATTGTATTTAGGTGCCGCACGTACAGTGGGAGCAAGATTCATGTGTTCCCTTAGGTTGACTGAGCTGAAGGTGAGACCAGCAGATCTAGAGTTCTTGTGCCACCAGCTGTCATGGGCGGGCGTTTAAAGTGGCGCTGGTGGGGATCTAATGAGCGGCAGGGACGCTGTCCGCTCTCTGCTGTTGGCCTGGAAATAGTACAGATACAACCTCTGCAGTGTCCTTGTGCAGCAGCTGCGGCAGGGTCAGGCTTATTGGGAAAACTTGCGTGGACACATTTGGGTTGCGTCCCCCGTTTGCGGAGTCAGGAGCTGGGGTGAGGGTCCTGTGGTCCCAGGCGATTCAGCTTCAGAGTTTCTGGACTCTGGGTTCCACAGTTTGCATTTTTAGCAGGTTACTGGGTGTTATTATTAATGGTTTAGGTAGCATACTTTGAGACTCCTTAATCTAAATCAATATCTTTTTTATTTTTAATTGAAATTTTTATTGAGATAGAACCCTGTGCATCCCAGACTAGCCTTGAGCTATTAACAGCTGAGCGTGACCCTAAAGTTCTGACCTTGTCTCCCACATGCTAGGTCACTAGTTTGGCACCCCAGTTTGAACCCAGGCTTCATGCATGCTAGTCTGGATCTTAAACTCCTAAGGTAATAACTTGGGCTTGAAAGTCTTTTAAAAATAATCTTGTCCACTGATGTGATGCACACTTGTAATCCCAGTGCTCAGGTGGCAGAGGCAGGCGGATCACTGTGAGTTTAGTCCAGCCTGGTCTATAAATTGAGTCTAGGACAAGCCAAGGCTGTGCAGAGAAACCCTGTCTTAAAAAACCAAGAGAGAAAAAAATCTTGTCAGTGTTCTGTTACAAAACTAAGCATGTAAGTGGGGTATGGCGGTAGACTTTTAATCCAGCACTCCCTTCCCCACATGCTCCTCCTCCTGCCCACTTCCCCTCCCTTTCCCTCCCCTCTCTTCCTTTGCTTTAGATAGGGTTTCATGTAGCTCAGGTTGACTTTTCCGATCCTCCTGCATCTGTGTTCCAAGTGCTGGGATTGTAGGTGTGCAATCCTGTGCTTGGTTTAGGTGGTGCTAGAGTGAGCCCAGGGCCCTGTGCATGTCAAGTAGAAGACTTCTGGGAGTTGCATTCCCAGTCCCTGGGGCTTTCATACAGGCACATGCAAATTTGCTAAGCACCCTACCCTGCCCTTTGCTTGCTGTGTAGCCCTTTCCTCTTCCAGCCTTCCTTTTAAGGTTTATTTCTTCCTCAGTTGACAAGGTCCCTAAACTGGGAGCAGTGCTGTGGTGTCAGGATAACCTGTTAATACACTCGGTGCACACACACAAGGCTCTGCTAGTGTGTCCTCTGATGTTCAGCTCAGACCCCGTCCCGTGTGCTCATGTTCATGCCCTTTTCTTCCTTTTCTTCTCACGCTCATATGTAGATATGTGTGGATATTTTGTCTGCAAATATGTCTGTATACCACGGAGGCTAGAAGAGGACACAGGATCCCCTGGGACTGGAGTTAATAGACAGTTGTCAGCTGTCATGTGAGTGCTGGAAATTGAACCTTTATCTTAGTTTTTCTTTATTCAGTAAGTTGAAGTTTAGTTTTAAAAAAATAATTTATTTTTATTTTTTGTGAATTGATGTGAGGGTGTCAGATTTGCTGCCATGTGGGTGCTGGGATTTGAACCTGGTTCCTTTGGAAGAGCAGATAGTGTGCTCTTAACCACTGAGCCATCTTTGTAGTCCCTTAAAATCAGTTTTGAAAGCTAGTTTGACTTGTTTTCCATTTTCCTCTGTTCCCAAATAAACCTTTTAGGTTTTTCCTTTTTCCTTGAAGTTATTTTCTATAAAATCTTGTAAATAAATTTAATAGAAAGTAAAAAAAAAAAAAGCACATTTCTCTCTGCCTTTTTTCCTCCCTTTCTCCCCTCCCTTTCTTTTTAACTTTTTATTGATTCTTTGTGAATTTCACATTATGCACCCTAATCCCTCTCGACTTGCTGTTCTCCATATCCTCCCTCTGCCCTTGCAGCCTTCCCCTAAAAGAGAAGAAAACAACAAAATCTTGCTATGGTGGGTCACACAGGACACCCCTTTGCTCAGACAGCTTTTCTTGCATGTGCTCACTGCCGTGAGCTGTCGGTCCACACATGAGTATGGATCCTCCCTAGGACTCCTGTCTGCTGTCCTGTAGTTGCCCTGTGTCGTGAAGATCCTGCAGCTTTGGATCTGGAGAACCACCCCTTCATGCTCTCCAGCATTTCATAGATGGGTAGATACTGGGGTGAGCCAACTCAAAGCCCTGGACCTGGTCCTGGGTGGTAGCTGAGCTAGTCAGCCTGACAGCTCTCACTACTCACGCCCTCCAGGCCAGCTCTCCAGCACTGCCCAGGCGAGGGGCAGGGCCATCTCTGCTGCTCTCACATCCTCCAGGCTGGCTCACCTGTACCCCACTACCCAAAGACTCAGCTCTACTGTGATGCCCAGGCAAGGTGTGGCCCAGCTCTCCCCAGTGCTCACACTAGGGGTGGGCCTTCCTTTCTTTCTTCACCATGTGTGCTGGAGCATAGGTGTGGCAGTAAAGGGCAACTTTGTGCGGTTAAGTCTTTGCTTCTGCCTTTTCTTGGGTTTTAGGATCAAACTTGGGTTATCAGGCGTGGACAATGGGTGCTTTTACAAAGCCACTGAGCCATCTCACTGGCCCACAGCCTCTTCTTCTGACAAAAGTTTTATCTCTGCATTAGACAGCTTGCTATGTTAAAACCACTTCAGTTAACTCTACTTTATTATCTGAAAGTGTTAACAGATTTACGCTGGCCGTAGAGAATGCTGAGGCAGCTTTTTTTAAAAATTTAATTTATTCATTGACAATTTCACATGGATATAATAAGTTTTGGCCACACTCATCCCCTCTTTTTTTTCTTATAATTTTTTATTTATTACAATTTATTCACTTTGTATCCCAGCTGTAGCCCCACCCTTGTCCCCTCCCAATCCCACCCTCCCTCCCTCTTCTCCTCCCATGTCCCTTCCCCAGTCCACCAATAGTGGAGGTCCTCCTCCCCTTTCCATCTGACCCTAGCCTATCAGGTCTCATCTGAACTGTCTTTCATAGTCTTCCTCTGTGGTTTAGTAAGGCTGCTCCCTCCTCAGGGGGAGGTGATTAAAGAACCAGCCACTGAGTTCATTGCAGTGACAGCCCCTGTTCCTTTTACTAGGGAGACAATTTGGAGACTGAGCTGCCACAGGTTACATCTGTGCAGGGGTCCTAGGTTATCTGAATGCATGGTCCTTGGTTGGAGCATCAGTGCTGAGGCAGCTTTCTATAAAATGACAGAAGCAGTTCTGTGATCTTTTCTGACACTTTACGGTGGCCTTCCTAAAGGCAGTATATATGGTATATAAGACATTAAGACATCAGTGTTGATTGTTTAGGTTTTTTTTTTTTTTTTGAGACAGGGTTCCTCTGTGGCTATCCTGGAACTCACTCTGTAGACCAGGCTGGCCTCGAACTCATAGTGATCTACCTGCCTCTGCCTCCCAAGTGCTGGGATCAAAGGTGTGCGTCACCACCGCCCGGCCGATTATTTAGTTTTTGTCTTGAACACTTGACTGTATCATAATAAAATTAGAAATTAAGGCTCTCTTCTCAAGCAGCAGCTTCTGTTGCTGCGCCTGCTTGTGAGGGTGGGTCAGGCATGAGCGTCGCAGCTTACAGTGTACAGTGGCGTGCCCAGCAGTCAGTCTGTCGCAAAACAGGCCAAGGTGACTCGTAAACCCAAATGCTGTGTTTCCCCAGAAGGGACAGTTTTGCTGCTTCTGTGATTGCTGGGCTTGCATTTATTTGGACAATCACTGAGTTGTAAATGCAAACAGTAATGGGGACTAAGAAAAGAGGGACATGGCCACCTTTTCACTTCTCTTACCGCCTGCTTTTGTCTGAGTGTACATTTTTTTCAAGCTGATTTTAGTTGGGAATATTATACAATTTAGGAAAGTTGTGCCCAGCTTCAGTACAGCGCTTACCCTGCAGCAGTATCTGTGTTCAGACCCTCAGTCGAGAGTGTTGGTAGGCCCTGATCTCTGAAGCTGCAGAAGAAAGGCTGTTCAAGAAAAGGAGAGAAATGGACGTAGAGTTTTCTAGTGCTGTCCGAAAGGACAGGGTCATAATTTACATAGTGTTCTGATGCTTTTAGACTCTCGGTTGTGAAAAGCATGCTTTAGGAATTTGTATATGGTCCAGATGGTATATGTTCACTTAGATATGGATAGGAAGCAGGAATATTTTAAAAATTACAACTATTAAGAAAAAGGATAAGTAAGAAAACTACATTAAAAACTTGTAAACAAGGCCGGGTGTGGTGACACATGCCTTTATCCTGGTACTTGGGAGGCAGAGGCAGGCAGATCTGAGTTTAAGGCCAGCCTGGTCTACAGAATGAGTTCCAGGACAGCCAGGGCTACACAGAAAAACCCTGTCTCAAAAAACCCAAACACACATACACACACCCCAAACAAACAAAAACAGCGTCTTGTAAATACATACAAGAGAATAAGCCTTGCACAGTGCATGTGCATGTTCTGAGGGTCCTGATCCTGGGACTAGCCGGGGAGTGACGTCAAGAGCCTTGTCCGCAGCAACTGGTTCC